ATCTCTGCTCCTCTGTGTTTTAGGTGTTTTTCTTTTATTATATTATAGTCTTGCTCATGAGTTGATGAATGAGTTTAGAGTCTGGTAGAGTTTAGAGGTGTTCTGATCAGGTTTAGATCCACTCTGATCCATGTCTTTATGTCTTATTGTGTCTTACGGTTTGCTGGTGTCATAGCAGAGCACTCTGGATGACCTCTTGTTGTCTGCGATGCCAAATGTTAGCCAACAAGAGCTGAACATCATTTTTGCCGACCTGACAACATCCATTCACCTCCGAGTTTCAAACGCTTGCAGACATTTTCAGAACAACAAATCACATGAAGTCCTGTTTTGTTCTGCTGATGTCTGGATCACGACGTCCCATTATGATGCCAAAGTTACACAGTCATCAAACTTTCTGCTTGTGAATAAGAGATTTATTGGAAATTTCCACTGTTTACTGTTTCTGGGTGTGAATATTCAAAGCACAGAACGTGTTCATCAGGATGCTCATTTTGCCATATACCTGAATTATTCATACGACATGCTGTGTTTGGAAAATAATCTAATAGCCAAGGACCTCGGGAAAAATTTGCATGAACAAGCACCTGTGCATAAATCTTGAAGATTGATGAGTGAATTAATGGCCAACCCAAACGGTCATTTGCAAGTCATAAATGTTATTCACGGCTGTCAGTTAACCTCACACTCGAATAATCACAGCCTTTGAAATACAAATCAAACTGCTTCACCTTGATGCGCTGACTACTTCATCCCATTAATTCGAGGATTCGTTGGAGGACAGAGACAACAAAAACAAGGGAGTATCATCTCTCCGGCTTCTCGCAGCACAAAGGAGGCCATAAAACCCACACACACTCATTACGCTTGTTCCCTTCAGACACACGGATACGCCAGCTTCCAGGATAATGAGAAGTCGGTATTTTTGTCCATCTGACAGGTGTATTTTCGCCGCTGTGACGCGGAGCACAGAGGAATGGCCCAAATGAATGTCATGCGGGTGAGCTGATGCTGCTCTTGAACCGACGTCGGTACATTTGTGGGCTCGACAGACGGCCACATCTCTGTTAGAGCGTTTTGTATTTTGCAGCAAAAGCCCTCAGAGGCAACACTTCATCATAATGACATCGCAGAGTGGACCTTCTCTCCCACTTAAGAGGATCATCCAAGGTACAGACACTGATATCGATACACATCGATCCACGGGCACTTCTTGGATTTGATTATTTGGAAATACAGTCGTGACTCGATGACCCGACACTAAACATAAAACCTTCTTCTATGTCGGATATCAAGGCTGTTGGATTGTCCAGACGGAGGTCCAGATACGAGGAGGGCTTGATGCTGGAAGGATCATTAGTTGTTCATTATTGTTCATAGTTGTTATAATAACTAGTAGGGCTGGTCCCAGGAGAACTTTCTGCTCTCTGGATATTCAGGCCCAAATAATGATGACTATCAGAATATTCGTCCCGGTCGGGGGACACAGAGCGCTGCCCCGGGGTGGAAGTGTCCAGAACACACAGGCAGTACTTGGCTGCTGATGCTAGTTTAGTTAGCGCTCACACTTCTGTTTCCTCCATCGGTGGCGGCGGGGGAGTGGCAGATACGCTCCACCGTTACCATCCATGTTTACTTCCATAAACACTGAGCACGCTCGCTGCGTGTGACGTCGTCGTGTCCTCTTGTGCGCATGCGGGACACTTTTGGCTCGTATGAAGTTCACACAGCAGATCACATACAAGTCGCATTGAAGTGGAAACGTGAAGGAAGTCACAAAGAAATCCTCATTGAGCATCAAGTCCTGCAGTGTGAACGTAGCCAATCTGTGGGATTGTTCAGTCAGATAATACGCCGTCATCCTGATTGGTGACATTAAATGTCATGTCGGAGTCACAATCCAAGGCTGTCGCTATGTTAAGGCTGTTTTTATGGGTTCTGTCAGATAGCAGGTTTAGGATTGTTAAGAGTCCATTATCGAGTCTGTAGCTCAAATCAGCCGTCGTATCAGTTTCAACAGAAGATATGGAATCATGTTTTTTACTATTGAGCTGAGATATTCTTTATTTTCATCAGTGGAACTTGATGTAGGGACGCAGACTTACCGATGCAGTCCTGGTTGTCAACATAATGCACCTCATTCACTCCCAGCCCTTCCCTCTGATAGAGCTCTTGCTCCTGTGAAGAAACAAACAAAAATCAGCACCGTTTTTAAAGTGTCCTGATATAAAAGTTTGTTTAGATGTTTCCAAACGGCCTCAGAACATCATCCACTTCCTCAAAAAACACACAAAAAACCCCCATCAAACTGACAACATGTGATGGAGATAATGAGAAGGAGGCTAAACCAAGAATTGTGGCGCTTTAATTGGAGACCTTGGAAGAGAATAACGTTAAGAGATCACAGGAGAGAAACAAGGCTCTCCAGGTCCCTTGAGAAATTAGCATTCTAAAGAGACGGCACGCCGGAGAGATGGAGGGAAAATACGAGAGATTAAACAAAGAGACTAAGACGATGAGCGCGCCAAGCATTTCCTCATGAATGAGTCAGTAAGTTTGGCTTGTCAGTGACATGATGTGGCAGGTTTCCCAGGATAAAGTAAAGCACACAGATTCACCTTAATCCTCACCACGGTTTACCCACCTCCTTCAGGATGCGCTCGTTGAAGAACTGCTGCAGTTTCTCATTGCAGTAATTGATACAGAACTGCTCAAAGCTGTTGTGCTCAAAATACTCTAAGAGGAGAGAAAAAAAAAACAGAAGAAGCAGGAAAAAAAAAACAACGTAAATTTCAATTAAATCCCAAAATGAAAAAAAAAAATGTTCTGCAAAGCTTAGGTTAATTATGGCAGCAGGGAGAATTATTTCCCAAGCAAGAGCCCTGGTAATGAAGTGTGTATATGCATTAGGGTGCTTAAATTAAGAACCGCGCTGCACACACAAGTGCCTCTTTAGCAGACTGAACTCCAAACATACCAACGAAGCAATTAACACCTATGCAGGAGCAAACTGCAGCGAGTTAGACGTCGCTGAGCTAAATCCACACGCTGTGCAAAGTTTATCTGAAACTTTCTGCTCGTATCCAACACTCGCTGCGCGTCTTTACCAAACCCAGCGATGTCCAGCACTCCGATGAAGTTGGAGGAGGTCTCGAAGGGGAAACACTGGTTTACTCGCTTGACCACATGATCGAAGAGGCGGCTGTACACCGCCTTGGCCAGGGCATCTCGCGCATTGTTTGCTTGTTCCACCTTTAGAGGCACCCTGGAGGGACACACAAAGTGGGGCAGTGAGAGACGAAACTGGGACATGCGAGTCTGTTATTAAACCTCCCTCTTTTATTTTTTTTAATCAACCAATTACCACGCGGCGGCTAAAGTTTAGTTGTGTCGACGTGACACTTTTTGCCGCATACCGCTGCCCCCCTTCTGATCTCTACAGCCAAGATAGGTGCTCGTTTGTAAAAAGAAGGAGGATTCCTGAGCCGAAGAGAAAGTATTAAAACTAAAAACGTGAACCTTGAACTCTGCTCGGCTCTCTAATGGCGCTTTAACACCAATTATTCTTCAAATATTTAAAGGGGTTGACTGACGAGACAAAGAGCAGCTCCACAGCGACCAAGAGTTCAGCTCACTGGTCCCAGCTGGGAAACAGCTGAATTCAAAATGAAAAGGCGTCTTTTTGCTATGATATATCTTCATCCACTCTCTTCTTTTGATATTCAATCCAGCCCCTTCATAAGCCCTCATCCATTTCAAACAGTCATACTCCACCTAAAGTTAGTTTATTCAGCCAGAGAAAAGAGTTCAATCCAAACTAAACACAGCAGATCATTTATCTAAGTGACGGGAACTTTTATCTGCTGCAATACTTCATAGTGACACTAGTTAAGAGATTCCTGATACCCCTGCGTCCACCGCCCCGTCTGTTGCCCTCAGCCTCCCGGGGGTGGGGTGGATTTGTCTGGGGTTTAATGACAAAGCCGGTCTCCCTGTTCACTCCACCTGCTCCCCAGACGCCAGGCCTTTACTGTAGTGCAGCCATGCTCCCCTGCCTCCTCAGATACAGGCTGCATTATTGATGTGGAGAAAACACTTCCAGGCCAGGCCGGCATCTGGCCCTCCTGAAATATTAATCCACCAAACCTGGCCCCATCACTCAAACACCACATTACTACCAAAGTGCACAGTGGCAGTGCCAACGCCGAATTCTCCATCGAACGAGTTTTTCTTTTTTCTCCACTCATGCAGACGTACAGTTGGTTCAATATCAGATTTTAAAAAAAACATCCTACATCTGTGTCGCTTTCACACTGAAATGCAGACGTTAGATAAGTGGTGAGTGACTTAGTGGTTGTTCTAACAGGCTTTGTTTAACTTACAGTAACACCTGCCTAACCACTGCCCATGTCCTCCTTAAACTCCACCTGGCAGCAGAATTCAGCTATTTTCAGATCTTTCGTGAACTCGCTGCCCTCAGTCAGTTCAGCAGAGGATTGATTTTCCTGCACAATAACATTTTATAAAAGAAGTTGCACAGATGTTTGAGGCTCAGTGCCGCCGCTCTCACTTGATAACTGTTCCTTTAGCGCCCCCTGCTGTAGTGAGCATGACCCTCGTCGTGAGGCTGACGCGCAGGTCGTCCTGGTCCAGGCCCAGCAGATCAGCACAGTAGCCCAGAGTCTGGTCGGACTGGTTCTTCAGCACACAACCACCTGAAAAAGAAAAAAAACCTTAAAAACCACATAAAATAACCAGCTGAGGTTCAGTTTTGTTAACCTACTTCCTGTTAACTGGTTTAAACATTGACTTCATTCAGGTTTATCAGAGGTTTTATTTTTATACCTCAAACTGGAAGCCATGCAGTGAGGTTCTTGGAACCAAGGTACCATAAGGAAGTGCTGAATGAATATTGGCACTGTCCAGCATCAGAGATAAGGAGATAACTGGTCTTGATCAGGTGATTGTGAGATTCAGCACTGGCCTGTTTTCATTCAACTGTAGTGAGGAAGAAACGATTGAAAACTGCCCCCAAGAAAAATCTGAGAGTATACTCACTTAGTCCACTGAGACTTTGATTATAGACAGAATGAGCAAGAAAAACACAGGGAACAAGAGCTGATGGTTGCCAGGGTAACAGAGGTCCTTTCTTATCAGAACTGCAGACGGGTCTGTGCCGGTACCAAGGACACAGCGCTGATCCTAAAACATGCTGTGTCCAAAAACTACTGAATATTGAATTCTATTAAAAAAGAAAATCCATATAAACTTGCTCTGTTCACTTCAACGTCCGTCCAATTCATAAAATACTTTACAATTCTGTGAAGTAGTAGTTTGGTTTTTTTAACCCATTCTGGGATGGCAGAATGGCAGCTTGTGTCTTTCTAACGCTCCTCCGTGGAGAGCATCTGTGATCTCTGTTCATGGTTTGCAAACAGGAAGGAACTCCAGAGGGTCACCAAAATGGCTGAGAAGGTCACTGGGTGCCCTCTACCCACACTGGAGGACCTTCATGGCTCTTACTGCCTCAGGAGAGCCGACAACATCCTGAAGGACTCCTACCACCTGGGCCACTTCCTGTTCCAGCTACAGGGCCATCAGAACCAGGACTGAAAAACAGCTTCTGTCCAACTGCTGTCAGAGCCATAAATGCCTCTTTATCCTAATAAGTGCAATATACTGTAAATGTGCTCATGCTATTATTTAATTTCACCTTCATATATAGAGTTTTTTATATCTATATATTTTTATATTATGTTGTATATAGTTGTTTACAAAGTTTTTATATATTTTTTTTGCACTGAAAGGCCTGCAGCTTACTTCTCGCTGTACTCGTTGCAATGACAATAAAGCAAATCTGAATCTGAATCTGAACATGACCTCGATGGTTTGCATGAAAAGTTTAAAGAAAGCAACACAACCAACACCATCTTAATCGTGCAACACAAAAATACCCCCGCAAAGACAAGTTCAAGACAAGAATCTCACACATTATCCTAAAAAAGATGAATCATAGCCACTGTCTAACCTGAGGAGCTCCCCGTTTCCTCAAAGTCAATGTTGCCCAGATGCAGAACGCCAGCGACGACCCTGAACAGGTCGAGCTTCTCGGTGTCGTCCAGCCCGATCTTCTTCATGGCCACGCACATCCTGTTGAAGTCGCCCTGGTCGTCCAGGAGAGGGTCTTTCAGGGCGCCCGTCTTTATATGCTGCAACAGATTAATAAAAAAAAAACCTTAGAGGCAGTGAAGAGAGAGTTTAAAAGTTCAGTTCAAATCATGATTTACTCAGAATTTACTGCATTCTAGCAGCTGTTCTTCAAATAAGGAGTAAATCTGATTTGGAACTGAACTGGACTGAAGAGTCAACACTAAACTAACAAGCCAACAGGAGGAGAGAACACTGAAGAGACCAAAAAAACTCAACCAAAAGCACACAGCAAGCCCCTTATCGTATGAACTACACCTGCTCTGCCACACTGGCCTTGTCTCACCTGTTGTGATGTATTTGAACTGATGGAGCCAATGTAGTATGTACAAATATATGAACAGCAACACAGTGTGAAATGTGACCGCAGCTTAGCATTTGTTCATTCATTAGGAGAAAAAATTAATTATACAATAATAATTAGCTGCACAATTATGTAAAACTTTATATTCCTGATTATATTATAAAACAACAGGACTTTCACAGGTGTTGTCTTGATGGGAGTCGAATGTTTTAATCCATTTGCGGTTCATTAACATCTTGACTATTTGTCGAAATCGACTGTGCAATTTGGAAAATATCCAATAATTATGCACACTGTATGGCTGGAAGTAAAAGCCAAACACTCCTTGTGTGTTTCACTTTAAGCCCCAAAACAAACCCAAACCCAGCATGCACATGCAGACAAGGAAGAGGAAGCGTGCACTCTGGTTTCCTGGTTTCACCACAAACAGCAGCATGCAAAACCTGAAGTCTGTGCTCAGTTCAGGAAAAACACAGGATAATAAAAAGATGGGAGCAAAAAACCCCTGAATAGAAAACAAACATCACCTTATTGTCCTAAATATACATAACACAGACATGTGGTGGGACAGACAGATACATGATTACTGAGGGAGCAGCATACTTAGAATCACAGAAATCACATCATTAGATAGATAGATAGATAGATAGATAGATAGATAGATGGATAGATAGAT